TTTTCTCGTCTAAGAACATGCAAGTGGAGGTTACAAAATACTGTTGATCCTTTTCTACGAGATAAAGTAACGATAACAAAAAATGTCAACCTAAGTAATGCATAGGAATGTAAAATACAAAAACGGAACAAAATTTTAATCCTGGATTAACGCTAATCGAACTTTCAGGAATCGGGCCCTGAACAATCACTTTTTCAAAACCTAAGTACTAAAAGGCGATTACAAGCTGAAGGTAAATTACGCCCAAGTTTAAAACAAAAAAATGACGATGTTCAATCTACTTAGTTTCTCCTCGATGGAGGTTCTTGCTCGTCTACCTTATGGTTGAGGTTTGTAAACCTACGTGTCTCTCGGTGCCTAAAATAACCATCAGATGATATTCTTAATGTTTGGGCTAAAGGCAATAGATCGGTCGATCTCTGGCGTGGTGTAGAAACCTTAGTATCTTAAAATTTCGGCGATCGTATGAATAGGCAGATTTCAGTTGTGCTAAGCCGCGTCTGGATTTGAACACAAGCCTGTCCTGTGATAATCATCATTTCAATCAACAAAATTATAAATTACGATTGCCCAAGTTTTGTCTTCCAAACAAGTTTAGTCTTTAATCCTTTTAGTTGCAGGTCCTGTACTGGCGAGGTAAACAGAATGTCATAGTGAAATTCATACTGATTAATTTTTTTGCCAGCACAAGTTTACTGATCAGCTTTGAATCCATTGTCAACTAGCCTCCAGTCAATGCAAGCAGATTGTAAATTTAGGAGAACTTCTAGCACTGAAGTCTCGGAGAAATATAGCAGATTTATTCGATCACAAAGACTTACGAAGAAAACAAAATTATAATTTCTTTTACACTGCACTCAGGCTATATCGCCAACTGCTCATAGCTAAACGCACTCCAACCACAAATCATAAAAACCTAAATGAGTTAAACGATAGTAATACTGTCAAAGCCCTCTTACTGAAGCGACCACTTCTGGAGTCAGTCATAACGTAGTCGCAATTGAAGCTGGTCGTTTACAAAAATGGGCTGTGGTATTAGTAAGAGAGCCTGTGATAAACTTATTGAGCATGCCACGGTCTCTTTCGAGAGTATTTCGGGTGTATGTTGTTTCTTACCAATACATTTAGGTAAAGTAATATTGAGTACTGATCTTTCTTGATTACATCCGGAAAATTGACGAAACATTTATTTAGCTGTTATGTTTTGCCCTGAATTTGACTGAGTGGTCGCAAAGAGATTGTCTACGAGGCAGCAGTACTAAACATAGAAATGCAGTTGTAACTGTCATAGTATCATACCTCGATTCACTCAGTTGAAAGCTTCCTCTTCTGAAGGGCCAGCGCTCCAAACGTTAGCTTTTGAATTTTTTTTTCCGATGGCAAATTTGCTTTAATTTTAAGCTCAGTTGGCAAAACTATTTTTTTGCTTCTCTTCCTCACCGACGAGGGGAACATGATCGGTTTCTATAACAGGCTAACTTCTTTGAAAATTCGATATCTCAGCTAAATTAACGCTTGAATCCACACAGATCATTCAATTTTTACTGTTATGCCTCCAGTTAAGGTCTTAAAAAACATTTTTACAAACTCCGAATCTTTCAGACGAAAATGCTCGATCACATCACTCTGTAGTAGTCCAAGACAAAGACATTGGGTACCGTGTAATGGGGTAGGAACTCAGGCGCCATATTATAGCGTTCTTTTGCCCCGTACCACACGCGCTTATTTTATCACAAGCTCAGTCACCCTTATTAATATGGTACTGATATGGTAAGTGTTTCCGATTAGAATTCAGGCGGAATTTAATGTTAATCTTTTCATCGAGTGATCGTGGTGATCTACGGTTGTACATATATTTTGGGCAATTCTAGAAAACTTTCTCTTCAAAAACCACTGTGCTGGAAGTCGATGATCGTATGTAGGTCGGAACAAAAACTTTAGGACACACTAATTAGTAAAAGAGCTACGTGCGAGGGCCTCTCTTATGCCCCGCCTATAGTCAAGCCGACGTTAAAGCTGACCACACCGCCATTTCTTGACCCTATATGGGCTGGTTTCTTCAAGCGCAAAAGGGAAGTCGCTTCCAACAATACGGTTAGTAATTTGTGCTGAGCAATGTTCTTTGTTCTGTTGGTTGATTCTCAATGAATTAATTAGTCAGACCACCGGCGCCAATACAAGAACACTCTCTCTGCTTTGTTATAGTACGGTGAAGCCTAGATAGTACTTAAGGACAACTATTGCATTTTTTTGGTTTTGGCAAAAAGATTGTTTTGTCTTTTTCCCTCTTAATATAGTACTGACAGTCGGTAAGTGTTTCTTATTAGAATTCAGGCGGAATTTGATATTATCTTTTCATTGAGTCGTCCTGATCTTTATACGGTTGTACATATATTTCGGCCAATTCTAGAAAATTTCACTTAAAAAAAAAAAACACAAAAAAACTTCTGTATCATCGATTAGTTCTTCCTGTTTGCCCACATCAACAGTGCATCAACTAAGAACATAAAACTAATCAATGAAAATTTCTGGCCATTCTGGCCACAGTTGTTCAAAAGTTGGATAGCGCTAGGCCACAGGATAAATCGTTGATAAGTAAGTGTAAGGGAAACCAATTGCGCTATCCACCGGATAAATCACTGATAAGTAACAGTGTTGGCAGGGCGGATAAAGGTTGGGCGGTGAAACGAGCGCTCCGCTCTTCATTTAATGTGTGATGCGGAGTAGGACTGGCACGAGCGCTCTTTCCGCGCTTCCGGTGCGCTTGAAGGCCGGCGAAATTTTCCTTTTTGCAAACCGGAAATCCTATTTTCTTTCTGTAATTTCAGGCTACAATGTTAAACAGATAAATTTTTTTCATAACAATATCAATAAACAGTTTCATATGTTTGTGTCTGTACGTTTATAAGTCAAACTTGTTGGTCGTATAATGCCAAAATTTGAGTTTAATTTCTAAGTGTTGAATACCTCCTCCTTCCACTAAATATCACCTAATCGTCTTTCGCCGTTTCGTTTGCAAAAGCTTAACACTTCTTAACCTCAATTTTTACATATGTTAAAGGGGGATAAATTTTACATAACATAACAAAAAATTAGATTGATATATATTGATATAGTGGCGTTGTACTTCTTCAAACTTTGCTTCTCGGGTGCAACGCGCCATGGCGATTCGCGCAATGCGTTGCAAATCCGGCAACCGCATGTAAACAAAATTTATTGAGGTTAGTTGTAAGGTTTTTTCTCCGTTTTTCTTTCTAAAACAAAACAAGGTAAACAATAAAAACTGGGGGAAAACTAATTTTGATGTTTCGAAGAAACAGAAAGACGTATGAGATGTTTTTTTCAAAATTAAAAAGAAAGATGATGGTGATTAAAATTAGCATAATTTCACCTTGCACGAGCTGCACGCATTTATAAAATACACGTCATCTAGTTATGAAACACGATCTGCTGTCTTTTAGTTTTGCCATGGATGACATGGATGAGATTTTCCCTCGTGTTTTAGACAGTATCTAGTTGTTTTCGTTTTGGAATAACATCGACATTGGCGAGTAGCAGAACGAAAATATAATTCAGTGGTAGAGTTATGGAAGTAATAAAAGAGACCCTTTGAAAGAGATGTTTGTCTACTCCAACCAAACCTCCCGCAAAAAATAGCAACATTTGCCTCTCGGAGACAGCGTACCAGCACAAAGGAACGAGGAAGAAGTGCAAGAAAACAAATCAAGCCGCCATAATTCAGTGACAGCGGCAGTGTCTAATGTACAAACCACATCATATCGCAAGTTTCGCAAGCCCTGACCGAAGTCGTAAACAAGCAAACAAGCGACATTTCTAAGCAGAGCCCCAGTCCACTGCATCACACCTTTTTGCTCGGACGCGCTCGTTTCACCGCCCTACCTTTATCCGCCCTGGTGTTGGCGAAACCAATTGCGCTATCCAGTGGATAGTGATTTATCCGGTGGATAGCTATCAAGAGATTTTTAAAAACTAAATGATCTGAAAAATGTTTAAAACAACAACGAAGCAACTTTGCGCTTCGATGAAAAGCATTTATTAGACGGATTTTCGTGCAACCCAGATGCATATAACCCATAGTTTTAATAATGTCAAGATTAAGTTTGATTTAGGAGCGAAAGGCTTGTATGATTTTTCTTTTGTTTTGTCAAACGCCAGACTTATAGTGGTTGTTATTTCTCAAAAGAATCAAATTTCAACACCCTCTGTTTTTTTTTTTCCGTGAGAATATTTCTAAATACAAACTCGAACTTTTTCAGCAACAAAGAGAGAGACAGACACGGGCACTCGAAAACGCTGTGCTAGAGGCCTTGTGACAGAACCTTCATTAGAAACATCAAAGTACGTGGAATGTTTAGAAGGCCATTCCTTAGATTCCCAGCTCTAGTATCATAAAAAGACCCGTCCAATGGAGTTTTGTAACGGGTATCTGTTCCTGCCTTCATCATGGGGGCAGCTCTTGATAGCCCATTAGTGACAAGGCACTTGAACCAATAAATCGTTATTTTTAATATCTTTCAGATGCATCCGCCCATAACTTATCATGATCAATGAAGTCTCCCTCTCTTCTCCCTTTCATAAAAAGAGCAGTTCTTTGATTACCACACAAAAGCGATAAGGGTCATCAGTCGAAGTCATCTTTTGTTTACTTTCCGCATCTAGTCCTGTCAAACCTGACCAGTGAAGTAAACCATATTTAACAGCCTCTACTGCGCATTAAGTGAGTGGAGTACGTTTTGACATTGCGAAGACTCAGCTGCTAAATGGCGCCACTTGGAAGCCCCACCTAGGATTGGTAATATTAGCGTAAAATAGCGTCACCTAAAGGATATAAATTTTGCGCGGTCTTCTGAGTCAACGCAGTTTGGCTTGCACAAATCGAACATACTCGTTCAGTGACCATAGAAATTGTGAGCTCAATCATGTCGCAACAAGAGGCAAGGCGCTCAAAACAACTGCAACAATTGCCTCGCGAACTCCAGTTACATCAAAGGCAAGGATTTGTGAAGTCGTTGGAACTTGGCGACGAATTCCCTTTTGGTGTTGGAAAGGACCAACGTTATGTCGCTGATGGGAGTCTTGCCTCCTTCGTTAAGAACCTGACGGGTCAACAGAAACAAGATGTCCTGAATTCTACACTGTTGGCACAACTGGCAGCAAGCAAAAAATTCGACCGTCAAAAAGAGACCACAAAATGGTACGATTTCTACAAGTACGTCTTGGAAAACGTTGGTTGGGTCATTCAAAGTTTTCAGTTTCAGGACTACCAGACGAGTAATTCCTCTTTCAAGCTCTCCGAGGTGACCCTTGAAATTTTGGGCGCTCTGGTCGAACCTGAGGCAGAAATCATGAAGGTTGTGAAGGCTACTATCGACAGTTTGGCAAAATCTAAAAGAGGAATCGCTCTTTTCGATTCTGGCAGTACCTCAGGTAGGGATGGTAACTTTCAGATTATGCCATGCACATTGGACCAGAGTCAGCAAATTACTTTGGCCCTCATGGCTTTCAAATTCAACGCCCACAACTATGAAGACGACTTTTTTTTCTTCACGTGGGGCTCGGGACACATAGAGCTGCATTATGCAACCCAGACCTGTACCTTAAACGAAGACGTGTATTCCCAAGTTCGTCAAGATATCATAAAGAAGCTGGGAAAGCGAGCTCATACTTTTGTCGAAAATTTGGATTTTTAAGATATCCGAAATGACTCCTTATGTTATTCACTGCCACGTGAACGTTTTATCAGTTTTGCATTGACTTTCATAGCAAGTCGGTAAGCTCGATCGTGTTATTAAACTTTTGCAGTAGCAACTACGATTACAATAGACTTTGTTAACTTTTTCAAATTGAGTGTTGACTTATTACAAATAGATTGCAATCCTTTTTTTGTACACTCATTCAGATATTTCAAGCTGACTAGTAAGCAAACTAGTGTAACTAGTGTGGCGTAAAATAAAGGAATTGTCTGTTAATTACGTCATTACATGTACATGTATGCATTTTCATTTTATAAGAGTGCAATTAATAAACATCATAATGTGTGTTTCTTCATAAGGGCTTTTTACTTTTCATTCAAAAGTATCCTTGTAGCTGTGTAAAAGGTCAAAGGTTTAATCTGTCTTCAGCAGGTGTAATACTTAGATTGTTTAAAGGAAGATTCTTCTGTTTATGAACAACAAACATAAGAGAAAAAGAAGAATTTTTCAAGTAGTTGCTTTCAAATCAGGCAACACGCATTCCAGTGGAAATTCAGGGATCAAGTTAAGCAATTGACTTAACATATTCCATGCACAGCTTGACGAATGCCGGGAATGATCGTGATCATAATTGTATTCAGGGGTTGTTCTCCCTTTGTTAAAAGAAAGGGTCTCTTAAGCCTCCCTACCTGTCTTAAATGAGGTTTTTGTTGCGTCCCATGTCGAGAGAAAATCAATTTCATCAGGTTATGTTCAGTTCTCCGTCACGAGCTCCGCTTTTTTGCCAGCTGCCTGCTGCCTTTTTTGGCGAGAGTAATTTGTGCAGTGAATCGTACAAAGCGCTATAAAAAATGAGACATTAATGCACTTGATTTGTTTTTTGGGCTCGCAATTTTATCTATTTCTTTTTTTGGTGCGCTTTTTCTAGGTGGCCTTGGTTATAGTAGTTGCACTGTAACTCTTTCGGTCCAAAAAGACACCCTATTCAAGAAGCGAAATGGTGAAATTGTGTTTATTACCCTTTAAGACTCAAGACCCGGAAAACCATACCCTGTTCAGCGGCACGTACCTGCCCAGGCCAAATAAGGGAGCGCCCCCCGGGCTCCAGTGCCTTTTTGTCTTGGCTTCTCCCTCCCACCCTTTAGAGCTCTTGGCTGAAGTCAAAAGTTAACATGCTAAAAATGGCTGTTAAGTTATTGGCGATCAAACTCAGTAAGTAAGTCGAGCAGGAAAATGAGCGGAAACAGGGCCTGAGAGGAAGCAGGCTGTGGCCTCGTTCGTCCGTTTTCAGTCGAAAAATACTTACGGTGGCTCTAGTGTTTTTTTTCTGGGGCTACAGCTCATATGTTTAAGCATTAACTACGTCGCCACTAACAAAGATAGCTCAAAATAGTCACAACAGCTGTATCAGAAAAAGGTAAAACATTATTATTACGACCAGGGTTATATTGACATGGCAACATTATGACGTCATTACCTATACTATTGGCGGTCGTATTTCTTGGAAGTTGGAGGTTTTTTTTTTTTTTTTTCCAAAATCGTGCACGGAAGCTTCTACCTCCAACAGCCGCCTTGATTTTCGTAAACTATATAGGAACATAATCTACGAAAGCGTTATGGAGATATTCATTAGTTGGGATGTTTGGCTAAACAACTGTGAAAATTGGCTCGAGAAAACGTGTGTTAAGAGTTCATGCATATATGCTTTTAGGTGCGTTTATTGGCATTTTTGTAAATAACGTGGTTTATTTCAGCAAATATTTATAATAACTTGGAACGCGTTCAACGAGTTTTTCCCGTTACCTTCTCGAGATAAATCATCGTTTTTTTTACGAGCGAAACAGCGACATCATGCAGTTTAATTCAATGAAAACAGCTTCCTCTAGGAGTAATGAATTAACTAAAGTGTCTTTATTGACAAAACGTTAATGCTGTTCCTTTCAAGGTGGTTGGTCAGACCACCGACGCCTTACAAGAACACGCTGCTTTGTTATGCAGTGAATCCTAGATTACGCTGTTATGTTGGCAGGATGTCATCAAAAGTATTTAAGGATAATTATCGCATTTTTTGGTTTTGGCAAAAAGATTATTGTGGTTTTTTCCTTGTTGCTTTAGATTCTTTTATTGTAGGACTGCCGTATGGTAATTGTTTCCAATTAGAATTCAGGCGGAATTTAATCTTTTTTTGGTGTCTTCGGCTGTAAATACAGGGTGTCCCAAAAGTTCGTTCCTCTAGTTTCATGCGCTATAACTTTTGATCAAAACTTTTTTCTTGAATGAAATTGCTAGAAGATGTTTATTGCTCTGTCGAGTGCATGTATTCAGAATTTCAGTAACCAGCATTCCCCCTTTGTTTGTTTGTTGTTTTTTTTAAAATCACATTCTGTATTAGCGGTTGCGGCATGGAATGGGATACGGCGTGTAGAGCCACAGATAATCTATTTTGAGCTTTTTTGTCACCTGGTACGCAGGAGCCACTTCCCTACTTCGACCCCCTAAACAAATTTTTTTTTTTTAGTTTAGGCAGCTGAAAAAATATATACTTTAAGCATTCATCCAAAAAAAGATAATTATGGCGGGCGGCGGCCCTCTTTACAAATTTGAGACGAGCTGATCGTGTTTGGCAGACTAACAGAGGTTTTAATGCCATCAATAGGGCCTCTAATCCTCTAACTTCGCTTTTATATTCATGAAACTGCTCTAGACTTGGTTTGCTAACTATTGTGAGAGCTATCTCGTTGAGTTGTCTCTTTTGTATCTTAACCTTCTTCAAAACTATTTTAACCGCTTTATTCAGTACTATCAGTCTTCCTCTTCTTTTTTTCTTCATTTCTCGATGACCTTTTACCACCCAAGATTCGAATATTTACAGTTTTTAGCAGTTATTTCTACTGATAAGCCAGTAAATCGAAGTAAACATTCTTATGCTCTTACGTAGCTGAACGTTTTTACGTTTAGAGGGTTTTTCTTTCATGATATTCACAAAAAAAAGGAAGGAGTTTGAGCAAACCGGGCTCCGACAAAATACAAAAAAAATTTTTGGCGGGAAAATGCACTTGTGCACGTGCACCTTTTGGCGCGGAAGTATACAAGTCGAACATTGGAGTCACAAGATGGCACAACAAGCATAAAATATTAAATTATATTGAAAGCCACAACTCTTGTTTAAATGATTTACATATCAAGTCCAATCGGGCTACATTACAGTCTTATAAAGTAGAGGAGCGAACTTTTGGGACACCATGTATATACAAGCTCAATGCTAGAAAACGTTCACTTCAAAAACCACTGTGCTGGAAGTCGATGATCGTATGTGGGTGGGAATGAAAATTTGGGGAGACACCCATTAGTAAGAGAGCTACGCCAGTGCAAGGGGCCTTTTTCAATGCCCCTAACGGCAACAGAACCATTTCAATTATGACTACATTTAGGTTGGTTTGTTTAAACGAAAAAGGGAAGTCGCTTTCAACAAAACGGTAATTTGTGCTGAGAAATGCCGAGTGTTAGAAATTGGCTATAATTAGAACGTGGGTTACCTGTAGCAACCTGGACTAGTATACTAAGTTCTCTTTCCTCCGCAGAGTTCTCTTTGTGTTGAAGGGAGGCTGGGGAGAGAGAAAAAAGAAAGCGCGCGGGGCACGATCATCGTCCCCCATGCGCTTTCTATTTTTTTTCGATTATTGCTATTTTTATAGGGATACTCAGGGGGAGCCTCTGCGGAGGAGAGAGTACCAGGTTAATAGACTTTTTTCTATAGCGAGCCGAGAGAAATAAGGCACCCAGTGTTATATTTCTGTTTTCTTAAACAGATGTTTAGGTTCCTTTCAATGCGTCTAGACCGTTCATGACAATTATAGTCCAATCAAATTGTGGTTTAGTATCAAACTAATTGCAACAGAATTTTTTTCAACGCCATTTAATTGTTGAATGGCTGTTTAACAACATACTAAAAAATCCGCCAAAATCGGTTCGGTGAAACATGAGAAAAATTGGCAATAAAGATTTTCAACTCTCACCACAGGAAGCCCAATTTCAGGAAGATCACAAATTCAGACAAAACATCTGATAATTGTGTTTTATTTTCTCAGGAATTTTTGATGCAACATCGCTTGTGTATTTTGGGTAGTTTTGATTTAAAAAAGGCAGACTTAATGTGTGAGAAACACCAGGGTAAGTGTTTCGTCTCGACGGCTCTGCACAGGCTATCCAGCCACTTGTCTGTCTTCATATTCTGTTTTCCAAGCTTTAATTTTTTTTCTGTGACGGTATTTAAAAGGGAAATTATTAGTCAGTCTGTGGTAACATGGTTAAAAACAATAATTAATTTTTTTGCGCAATATCAGAAATGCAGTAAGTATTTCACATAGCAGTTTTACAGGCTGGTAATTTTTTATATGTGCAGCATGGATTCAAATTTAGTAGCTGACTGATGGTGAACAGTTTGATTCGATATTTTGCTCACCTTCGGTCAACTACTAAATTTGCATCCATGCTGCAGGATAACGTGCGACTAAATGTGTGCAACGGACGATAGCTTAGTATCAGTACAAACTGTTTCACACCTATTCCCGTTTCTGTACGTAATCGAGTTTTGTGAAGTACTTATGTTCAAACCTTGGACACAATATGTGTGATCGAAAACAGGGAATCTTTTTTTTTTTCTGGCGTTATGCGCAACTTCCTAATCCTTGGCAGGATTAGCTCAGTCGGTAGAGAGTTTGACTGCAGAGCGGGAGGTCGCGGGTCCGATTCCCGGGGCCGGACCATTACTCAGGGTCTTAAAATGACTGAGAAATGAAGGTACTTCCTTTGCACTGCAAGCGGCTAGACCTTCGCGTGGCTCGGATGACCACGTAAAATGGCGGTCCCGTCTCCATTAGGAGACGCAAAAATAGTGTCCCCAATTAGCACTTTCGTGCTAAATACATTGACTAAATACATTTTTTTTTGGGATTATGACTCCGTGCTTTACAATGTGAGTGAATAAATATTCTGCT